GCCTGTACCTCTCGTTCCTTTATGACTTTCCTAAAGCACGGCTTGCAATAGCTGTCTGAGGGTGATTTTCATCCATGAAGGTTTGCACTTCAAGCCACTTTGCACAGATTTCCTTAATCTTTGAAGTAGGCAACTTCTTCAATTTCTCTCTCCCCTCCTCCGAAGCAATTTCCTCAGGTGTGGCCTCTTGCTGTTGAAGTTGATCTAGCAGCTCATCAGTGGTTAGTTCTTCATTGTCCTCCTCCACCAACTCTTCCACATCCTCCCCACTAACCTCCAACCCCAAGGACTTCCCCAATGCCACAATGGACTCCTCAACTGGCATAGGATTCTCAGGGTTAGCCTCAAAGCCTTCGAAATCCCTTTTGTCTACACATTCTGGCCACAGTCTTTTCCAGGCAGAGTTCAAGGTCCTCTTAGTCACTCCCTCCCAAGCCTTACCTATAAGTTTTACACAATTGAGGATAGTAAAGTGATCCTTCCAAAACTCCTTTAGAGTCAATTGAGTTTCTGTGGTCACTTCAAAGCACCTTTCAAACATAGCTTTTGTGTACAGTTTCTTGAAGTTGGTAATGACCTGCTGGTCCATGGGCTGCAGGAGAGGAGTGGTATTAGGAGGCAAGAACTTGACCTTAATGAAACTCATGTCCCCATAAAGTCGCTCTGACAAGTCTGTAGGATGACCAGGGGCATTGTCTAATACCAGGAGGCACTTAAGGTCTAATTCCTTTTCAATTAAGTAATTTTTCACACTGGGGGCAAACGCATGGTGTAACCAGTCATAGAAAAAGTCCCTAGTGACCCATGCCTTACTGTTTGCCCTCCACAGCACACACAAATTAGCCTTGAGGACATTCTTTTGCCTGAACGCTCTGGGAGTTTGAGTGATACACCAATAAAGGCTTCACTTTGCAATCACCACTAGCATTGGAACACATCAACAGAGTAAGCCTGTCTTTCATAGGCTTATGTCCTGGGAGTGCCTTTTCCTCCTGAGTAATGTAGGTCCTGCTTGGTAATTTCTTCCAAAACAGGCCTGTTTCGTCACAATTAAACACTTGTTCAGGTTTCAATCCTTCAGCCTCTATGTACTCCTTGAATTCATGCACATATTTTTCAGCCGCTTTGTGGTCTGAACTGGCAGCCTCACCATGCCTAATCACACTATGTATACCACTACGATTCTTAAATCTTTCAAACCAACCTTTGCTGGCCTTAAATTCACTCACATCACCACTAGTTGCAGGCAATTTTTTTACCAAATCGTCATGCAACTGCCTAGCCTTTTCACAAATGATTGCTTTGAGAGATGCTATCTCCTGCTATCTGTTTTTCATTTATCCACACCAATAACAGTCTCTCAACATTTTCTAACACTTGCGGTCGCTGTTTCGTAATCACAGTTGCACCTTTTGCAAGAACAGCTTCCTTGATTGCCGTTTTCTTGCTCACTATAGTAGAGATGGTTGATTGGGGTTTACTATACAACCTGACCAGCTCCGACACACGCACTCCACTTTCGTACTTTGCAATTATCTCTTTCTTCATTTCAACAGTCATTAGCACCCTTGGTCTCGAAGGGTTGGCACTGGGAGCTTTCTTGGGGCCCATGGTGACTTATTTTGCAAAAACAGGCACCAAAAACAGTGATAATATGGATAATATGGAATGTACCGAATGTATCCTTAGATGCGCACACACTGGCTGGCTTGTAAACACACGGGGCAGTTCAGGACACACATGGACACGTCTTGTATGAACCACATCGCATACCGGGTTTTGTATCGGGAAGCGAGGCAAATTTTCTGCGATATAATGCATCGGTTACCGGATTTATCGGATACCGATAGCATCGCGAACCGGGGTTCCACTGTACCTCCCTGGGTGGTTGCTGTCTGCCAATGTACTACCTAGTACCAAAGATTTATTGCAGAATATATTTTATCTTTTGAGCAACTGTACTGATATTGGTACAGAATCTCCTCATATATATTATAACATTTGAGTTCTGGAGGTGAGGAGTACAGTGCCTGTATACTGAAGGATAGGTGTAGAGGTTGCAACTTAGAGGGTTCATTTTTACTGTGATGTCTGCACACTTCTGGCAAGACAGCTTATGAATGAATCATGGTGTATGTTTTTTCTCTTTATGTCACTTTACCTTGGTGGGATGTAGTCACTGTAAAACGAGAGAACTTCAATAGAAATCTAAAGTTACTAGCTGCCTGTTATAATAGTTCCTTTGTGGGGTTTAGAAAAACTAGTGCAGAACTTTTAATATTTTTTTGAGCTAATAAATCTTATTTTCCAGTGGCCTATGAATGAATCCAGAAAAAATTTAAATTTCTTACTCTACTGTATATTTTTCCATGAAACTTATAGACACACTGCATAATTTTGGTTATATTGATGATACTCTTTGGATTGTTACATTGTTTCATTCATCTAGATGATACTCATGGAATTATACTTTAATTGTTGTTCATAATAATAATACATAATAAAATTAAGCACTAAACCCAAAAGGGTTGTGCAGTGCTGCAGGAAGGAACATCTAAAGGTGAGGAGGGAATAAGGGGCAGGAGTGTATGAGGGTAGGGGTTAATAAAGGTAAGGGAGAGTGCAACAGGAAAATTAAAATTAAATTTGGTTTTTGTTCCTAATACAGTGGACCCCCGGTTAACGATATTTTTTCACTCCAGAAGTACGTTCAGGTGCCAGTACTGACCGAATTTGTTCCCATAAGGAATATTGTGAAGTAGATTAGTCCATTTCAGACCCCCAAACATACACGTACAAATGCACTTACATAAATACACTTACATAAATACACTTACATAATTGGTCGCATTCGGAGGTGATCGTTATGCGGGGGTCCACTGTACTACTCATGGTATTTTTGCATTATTTTGAAAGTAGGAGTTACCTCGATGTTATGAGGCCATGTACATTACTGATATTTAAGTCAGTTGATTCAGTTCGCTTATTTTCAGAACATTATTTCCAGTAGCACCTTGTTTTTAAATTTATTCACTTGCACATTCACCGTTTTGTTACTGCTCTGCCTGTTCATCTTTCAAAATTCTCATTAACAAATTTTAAATTACAATGCAGTACAGTAATTATTTCCATAATGCTTTAAAACTACATTGTCCACTTCCTGTTTAGTTTTCTCAAAGTACAGCACATGCAGACTTTAGTGTGACTATGGTAACATGTAATTCATCGTTCTAGAATAACAATCTAGAAATATGAAACATTATAGTTAGCTATTTTTATAATTTATCAAGTTTACTTTCAGCCTTTTGATAGGCACATTTAGTTTCCTGTTAGTATTAGTTTTTATTTTTTTTAAATGCTTACGTACATTACAACAACACATTTGTCATTGCAGATCGTGTATTTGAATTATGAATTAAGGGTAATTTTAGCAAAGTTAACATTAACAATTTTCTCCAATCATTTAAAAAAAAAACATTTTAAATTGTTAAAAATTTCAACAGCGAAAATACACACTAGTCTTATATGTTCAAGAGAACTGGAAGATATAGTGAGTGAATCTGTAGAATTCTCGAGCTAAAATGTAATTTCCTAGTGTGTTAATGTAGATTTTGACTTGGTTATTGTCATCACGAAAGTTAGGAAATAACAATGGAAAGAAGTAAATTGAATTTCATTTATATACATTATTGCAAAGATTCATTAAATAGCTCATGCTATAAAAACATTAATTTTGTCAGCATTTCTGTTCAGTTTTTTTCTCTAGTGTTTCTTTCATATCTTGATGTTTTAATTTAGTAAGTCATATGGATTTTAGTCCTTTGAATAGAAAGTTTGAGGTTACTGCAAATTATTTTTTGTAAAGATCAGAAGAAAGCAACTTTATTATTATTCTTATGGGATTTGCTGGAAAGAGAAATCTTATCTAAAAGCCTAAATTGCTCTTCTCCTTCCCCAGATTTTCTCTGGATGAGTGCAGGAAAGGTGAGCATAATTTGCCCCTTCACTGTAATAAAAACATTCCAGAGATTATAAAAAATTTTTTCCAGTATTTTTGGTTTCCAAGAGAAAAAGATAGTTACAGTACTCCTTTCAAAACCATTCTGGTTATTTCAGGGATTAAACAGCTTAATGCTCTGTTGAGCAAAACTCACTTCCAGTTTGGGCAACAGCCTTTAAACCTCATTCATGCTTGTTTTAATGTTTAAACTAGATGGAAATTAGTTTGTTTCTACCTTCTAGGTGATTGTTGCATGTTTCTTTGCCTTACTTATGATCTCTCCTTTAACCTATACAGAGGAAAATAAGGTTTCTAAAGGATGTGTACACAAATTTTTTTTAGATGTATATTTTTGTTCTCCATGGAGAAGTGGAACAGAATTCTTCCTCCATAAGCCATGCTTGTTATAAGAGGCGATTGAAGTACCAGGAGCAAGGGGCTAGTAACCCCATCTCCTGTATACATTACTAAAGTTAAAAAGAGAAACTTTTGTTTTTCTTTTTGGGCCACCCTGCTTTGGTGGGATATGGCTGGTTTGTTGAAAGATTTTTATCTTGATATCTAATTACTGTATTTCCTGAATGTAGTAATCATCAGCATTTTTTGGGAAAAAATGATGCATTGTATTTTCAAGTGGCACTTCACTGGCAAGGGGCCCTCCTCCTTATGTACAAAATTATATTGGGATCCTGTGTCAGATTTTGAGGCAATTCATCCACCTTTAATTTTTTTAGGTGGATAACTCGTGTGTTTTTTTTTTTTTTACCTCATTGACTATTTCCCACCAAGGTAGGGTTACCCAAAGAAGAACACATTCAACATCACCTAATCAATACCTGTCTTGCCACAAATGTACTGACATTACATTTTTATATAATTTAATTTAAATTTATTGATGTTCATCTGTTTGACATCATTGTTAAAGTGCATACGTGTTTTCATCGGTTTGTATCTATATTTTTAATACTTAATTAATGATATTTTATGTATTGTATTATAGGTGTCCAAAATGCAAGAAATTGTATCCTGCTCATTATTTATGGACAAGACATATGCTTGTGCACACCAACACCCGTCCGTTTTCATGTGATGAGTGTGATAAGAAATTCAAGAGCAAGGCCGAGTTATTCATCCATAAGAAAACTCACAGACCAAGTGAAGAACGATATACACACTGTTGTGAAATTTGTGGAAAGAGGTAAGTGAGAGATGCTTTGTTATGCAGCAGAAGACACTCTTGCACAGGAGGTACACAGGTCACAAATGTGTTGCACCCCTGATTTTTTGACTTATACAAGAGTTGTCCTCCTGCTTTTTAAACTCATGAATGTGTTGTGCTCCAGGGTTTTCCAACTTAAAACCAAGTTGTTTGTATAGAAAATAAAGATAGTTTTCACACATACTTATACAGACAGACCCCGCTTTACAGCGCTTCGCTTTACTGCGTTTCGCTAATGCAGTGGTTTTTCATTATACCCATTCTTCATTTATTCAGCCTTCCTACAATAAATATATTCACCACTAACTATAAGCTAAATTGAAAATTGGGTTGGTCAAATGTTTGTTAGTGGGATGAATTGTAAAGGACCTGCCTAGTATGGGCCAACAGGCCTGCTGCAGTGTTCCTCATTTCTTATGTTCTTATGTTCTTAAGTAATGTGTGTACTGTATACACAATTTTTAGGCCTAGCTCTGTTGCTCACTTAATTAACCCTTTCGGGGTTTCGGCCATACTAGTACAGCTTACGCGCCAGGGTTTTTGACGTCCTAGTACGCATAAATTCCAGCGCCCTCAAATCTAGCAAGAGAAAGCTGGTAGGCCTACATATGAAAGAATGGGTCTATGTGGTCAGTGTGCGCAGTATAAAAAAAATCCTGCAGCACACAGTGCGTAATGAGAAAAAAAAAACTTTGACCGTGTTTTTGGTTTAAAACAGCGACTTTGCACTGTATTTTCGTATGGTATTTATTGTTGTATTCTAGTTTTCCTGGTCTTATTTTATAGAATGGAAGACATATTACAGAAATTGAGATGATTTTGATTGGTTTCACAATGAAAAGTACCTTGAAATTGAGCTCAAAGTAGCAGAAATGTTTGATTTTTGCCAAAGTTCAAAAGTAAATAAATCATGCCACGCGTCCAATACACGTCAACTGGTGAATCTAATATTCTTTCACAAGTGTGCTGGTATTATTTATACCATTTCTACACTAATATAGTAGTCTGCATAACAAAATCTTCTATTTTTTTTTTTGAGAATAAAAATTCAAAGTGGAAAGCAAAAGAAATGTAAGAGGGGAGTGAGGATGTGACTAATGAACAGAGGAAATGTTATTTTAGTGCCGGGAATGTCTTTCTTGTTTGTTCTGGACCCTATTTGGAAATTGGCATCTTTTAAAATTTGTGTGAAATTGGCAAAATTGCTAAATTCTGACCACTTTATTGGATAGTTGAAATAGGTAAATGGGTGGTTTCTTGTACTCATTCGATAGAAAAAATGAAGTTCTAGCGAAATAGTTATGATTTTTGTCAACTAGTACACTGGAATTGGCCGAAAATAGGGCTCAAAGTCGAGACCGCTAACTTCGCGAGAGCATAATTCCATAAGTTTTCCATCAAATTTCATACTTTTGGTGTCATTATGATCGGGAAAAGATTCTCTATCTTTTCATAAGAAAAAATAATTTTTTTTTTTTTTTAAATTTTGGCGACCATGAGAACAAGTCTCTGAGAGGGCCTGGCGACCCTCAAAGGGTTAATATATAATAGTATAAACTTGTTTTCAGGCTTTTATATGTATTTGAAAGTGAAATATGGCTATGTTTCACTTTACAGTGATTTTTATTTTACAGTAGCCCAGAACTTAACCTGCTGTGACTTGGCATTTGATAAACATATTTGTTCTGAAGTGTCCTGTTTGTAAGTGCAGATGTGTGTGTTAGTCACAGTAATTACTATAATTTAGTGTTTTGTATTAAAGTACTGTACTATATGCAGTATTCTGTAGTTATGAATAAAGATTAAATTCTAAAAACAGTAATCTAATAAGAGCATAAAGTGTTTTTTCTGAAAAGACTCGCAGACTCGTACATGATGATAAAATCTGGCAGTGAGAGAGACCTCAAGAGTGTGTGTTCACAGAATAATCTTCCAAAATGTGTGAAACAGAGCAGCTTTCCCTGTATCATTGACATAGGGCTGGAGTTGTTCTTTTCATAAGGTGTCCATGAATTGAATGCATGCAGCCAATCACATCATGGTAAAGCAACAGTCATTAGGAGCAGAAACTAATTATGAACACTGCACTTTACTTTTTGAAGGTAGTTGCTATGGGAAGTATCCTACTGCACAATTGGGAGCAGCCATGAAAGCTAATCATACATTTTAAGGAATCAACATGACCTTTGAATTTAAGAAAAGAGAAAAATTTTACTCTGTAAGTTGCCTCTTGACTACTGTATTCAATCATGGAAATAAAATCTACAGAAAAACATTGCATCATTGTAAAAAGTTCAACACAGGGTGGTGAAAATTGTCCTAAAATAGTCAGTATTGGGCCACATACTAGAAATTCATTTGTGCAGTCTATGATTTTTTTTATTGATAACTGGATATCAAAGCGAGTGACCAGTCTATTTTTCTTTTGTTACTAATTCTTCATAATGCCCTGCATTATGCTGCTGCTTAAAAGCAGTAGCTGCAAAGTGAATCATAGCCTTTTTTCACTTTCAATTGCATATAAAACCCTGATAACATGTTTACACTATCATACATTAAGTAAGCAATATAGCTAGGCCTAAAAAATGCATATACGGTACACACATTACTTTTTTTTTTTATTATTATCACACTGGCCGATTCCCACCAAGGCAGGGTGGCCCAAAAAAGAAAAACTTTCACCATCATTCACTCCATCACTGTCTTGCCAGAAGGGTGCTTTACACTACAGTTTTTAAACTGCAACATTAACACCCCTCCTTCAGAGTGCAGGCACTGTACTTCCCATCTCCAGGACTCAAGTCCGGCCTGCTGGTTTCCCTGAACCCCTTCATAAATGTTACTTTGCTCACACTCCAACAGCACGTCAAGTATTAAAAACCATTTGTCTCCATTCACTCCTATCAAACACGCTCACGCATGCCTGCTGGAAGTCCAAGCCCCTCACACACAAAACCTCCTTTACCCCCTCTCTCCAACCTTTCCTAGGCCGACCCCTACCCCGCCTTCCTTCCACTACAGACTAATAGACTCTTGAAGTCATTCTGTTTCGCTCCATTCTCTCTACATGTCCGAACCACCTCAACAACCCTTCCTCAGCCCTCTGGACAACAGTTTTGGTAATCCCGCACCTCCTCCTAACTTCCAAACTACGAATTCTCTGCATTATATTCACACCACACATTGCCCTCAGACATGACATCTCCACTGCCTCCAGCCTTCTCCTCGCTGCAACATTCATCACCCATGCTTCACACCCATATAAGAGCATTGGTAAACGCTCTTAAAATATTTCTATTATCCTGAAAATATTTCTATTATCTTACAGTGAGTGGTGAATATATTTGTTGTAGGAAATCTGAATAAATGAGGAATGGGTATAATTAAAAACTGCTGTACTAGAAAAATAATGTAAAGTGAAGCACTGTAAAACAGGGCCTGCATGTAATGGAATTAGACTTGAGCATTTCAAAACTGCAATTAAAGCTCCAATTAAAATTACAAATTACCTTAAGCCTAGTAGCATGACACTTACATAATGATAGTGACAGGGAGTTGGTTAGGCCCTACTTAATTCATGTGTTAGTTTTTTTTTTTCTCAACAAACCAGCCGTATCCCACCAAGGCAGGGTGGCATTTTAGTCGCCTCTTACAACACGCATGGCTTACGGAGGAAGAATTCTGTATGTGTTAGGTAATAGATAAAAAAAAATTGGCTAACAATATCAGGTAGGCTGCACTCCACAATCAAATGGGCCACATTTTGCCTATGTGTTGGATGCCCCTGGGCTACAGACTTAGCAACTTTTCAAACAAGGCATAACAGGACTGTTTTCAGCTTATCAAGCTATAATGTATACCAGACACTTGATAAGCTTCTTGTCTTTGAAAAGATCATTAGACAGTGGCTGGCTTGTCAGTACAATACAAAACTGTACATTGGTACCTTGAATTACGAGTGCCCCAACTTACGAGTTTTCTGAGTTACGAGCTGTTGCTTTGTCGATTTTTTGCTCTGAGTTGTGAGCCAGAATCCAAGTTACGAGCGAGCTTCAGATATGCCGCCACTAGTTGGCACAGCGAACACCACAACATCCCCCCAGCATTCCAGCGTTTTGTGCAGTTATTTTGCCAAATTTTTTTTCTAACCATGGGTCCTAAGAAAGTAAGTGCAAAGAACAGTGCTGAAAAGAAGAGGATGATGATGTCCATTGAATTAAAGCATGAAATCATAGAAAAACATGAGAAAATCACTTATTTCAGTGTTTTCCTTGTGAAACTAGTGATCTAGTGCAGTAAGCCTCATACACACTCAAACCATACCCTGGCTGGGATTGAACCCGCGGTGAGAGAGTCTCAAAACTCCAGCCTGTCGCGTTAGCCACGGCAGTGAAGGGACTTGAGCTAGGGTTCGTCACGGCCACGCTAGCTGGAGATTTGTCTGTAAAAACTTGCATTTGTGGTCACAGTGGTGCCTGTGCTAACCTTCCTATGGTGTAGAAATATACCTAGTTGGACGAATCTTATTGTGGCTAGCTGGTCTAGTGGCTAACGCGACGGGCTGGAGTTTTGAGACTCTCTGACCGCGGGTTCAATCCCGGCCGGGGTACGATTTGTTTGCAATCGTGCCATTACGATTTCGTGACTCATTATAAGAGAAAATGGAGTGTGTATAAGACCTCAGAAGGACAAGAATGGGAAGATATGGTCAGAGCAATAATCATTTTTACCTCGGGAGTGGCCTCCACCACTTGTCACATATTTTATTCATTCTAGAGTATATACTGTATCATGTTTCTATGTTATTTATGTTGTTTATTATGTCAGATCAATTGTGATAGATAAATAAGCCATAGAGTTAATATAAACTTTATATTGAAGTATTTTCTCCTGCCTCCCAAGAGCCAGGAATTCCACTGGAACTGATTAATGGCATTTCATTAATTTAAATGAAGAAAATTGATTTGATATACGAGCAAATTGAGTTACATGCTCGGTCACAGAACGAATTAGACTTAATTAAGTCAAGGTACCATTGTATAGGTAAATTTCCCATAAGGCTTTCAGTATAACGGGATTTTTTTTCTTTTGTAGTGCACTAATCTACTGTACTCTGTGTGAGATCATTATTCTTACCTGTGTGGTATTTTAATTTAGCCAGTATAATAATTCAACCAATTAATAATTTATTACTGTATAGGTTTTTGTTTGGATTTAATATAACGCTATGTTATTTAAAATATCTTGCCATGCTGTTTTATTTTGATAATTATAGAGAATCTGTTTTTTTCAGATTTACACAGAAAGCTAATTTAGAAAGTCACTTGCGGTTACACACTGGTAATCGTCCATTCTCTTGTGAATTTTGTGGCAAATGTTTCTCTCAAAGAGGCAACATGGAAGAACACAGAAGAATACATACTGGGGAAAAACCATTTGCATGTGACGTATGTGGTGTAAGGTCTGTAAATTTTTTAAAAGTTTTGCTGTATTATAATATTTATAGTGTAGTAGTATCTATCGTGTATTTTTTTTTATCCAACTAGTATTTCTGTTTTGGTTTGAATATCTTTTGCCTTGATTATTATCATAATCAGAAGAAAGTGCTAAGCCTACTAGGGTCTCTTTTGCCTAGAACCATGCTCTTTCAAAGTTACCTTTTTAAAACTATCCATTTTGCAACTGACGAACAATGTTAAATGAAGCCAGCATATAAAGTACAGTATGTGAATACCTAACAAAAATGTTCATATTTTCTAAAAATACAGTTATGTCCCAATGAACCTTATCCCGAGGATCCTTAAATTTTGTATTTTCTGTTTAATTCTCCAGGTATTAGTATTTCTGCAAAACTTAAGGCTTTTTCATATTGCTTTGCTTAAACATTACTGTAAATTCTATAGGTAGGCAGCCTGTACAGCTCTATGAAACATCTCTTTATTCATTGTATTGCCTATCTGTCAAGTTAGCAGTCATTATAATCCATATATACATTAACCCTTAAACTGTCCAAACGTAGATCTACGTTTTTTCAACATTTGAAAGTATGTAAAAAAAAACGTAGATTTTTTTTTTTTTTTTACATTTGAAAACGTGCAAAAAAAAAACTTTGATCTACGTTTTTTTTTTTTGTTATATTTGAAAACATGTAAAAAAAATAGATCTACTTTTGGAGCACTACGCAAGTGAACATAGATCTGTTTGGACAGTTTAAGAGTTAAGTTCTGACATGTTTACTCAGGATTGTAATTCTTCAGTTCTGCATGCTTGTGTGTGTGTGTGTGTATGTATGTGTGAGAGAGAAGAGAGCATGCATATTGATAGACGAGCGGGTACAAACACAAAGAAGTTTAGGTGAAACTAAATTTGTATGATGTTATGTAACTGATAAGGTACAGAATAACATGAGAAAGTGAATGTGGCATACTTCACAGACATTTGCGGACTAAACCATGTCAGACCAGAGTGATGAGTGTTATTTCATTCAAGGGTGACAATGTTATAAATCACACACTTTTATTCTCATTCACATATAAAAATATAAATTAAGTAGTTGCTAACTACACTGTTTTGCATTGGAAGATTGATAAAAGTTCTGAATTTTTCAGCTACTCTAGACAAGGTCAGCTAGCCATGCACAGACGTAAGCACTCAGGAGAAAAGCCTCACAAATGTCAATATTGTAATAAAGAATTTCTTCGTAGAGAGGTTCTGAGGAAACATGAACACATGCATACAGATACAAGACCCTATAAATGTTCCTACTGTGAGAAAAGCTTTAGGTAAGCAAGTCTAATTTATTTTGCACTGTTATAAATCCCTTAAGGGGGTGAGGGGGGGGGGACTTAATACAAGGAACTGGACCTGCCATTTTCTTCCTTGGATTAAATCCAATTTCCTCCAATTCTCCAGGTGCTATATGACCCCAGTAAGTTCTGTTCTTTCCCCGAAAAAAGCTATTATAAATATACACTGGTTGTCTCCTACTCTACCTTGGTGGGAGAAGGCAGGTGTGAAAAAAATAAGTCATAATTTAATGCATTAGAATAAGAATCCAAAACTCTCAAAAAGTAATTAAGGTTTGAAGTGAGTATACACTGACACGAGCACTGTCATTACAATAAGTCCAGTATTAAAAAAAAAAAAAAAAAATTATTTTGATAAGACTTATACTATAATTGGTTTTAGAAGCTTTTTGTGTTATGCCATTGTGCATAAAATCACATGTAAATTTAAAATGATTGAATTTGTAATTTTTTTTTATTTTAATCATGGGGAAGCACTAAACCAATAGGGGTCATATAGTGGGCAAATGGAAGCATTCAGGTTTATTCTAAGGGGAAGATAATCCTTGTTCCTTGGATTAGGAGCCTTGAGGGGTTAAATTTGTAAATTGTACAAAATGTGTATGCTTCAAATCATGGTATGTAAATACCAAGGAGCAAATAACATGGTGGGTACCTATAGGTATTAATGACATTGCATCGATGCAGTGGCTTTATCTATTTAAAACTAATGTGATAGGGCCCCTGCATAGATTAAATGTCATCATTAATAAAAGTCCTTATTATAATCATAGCTAAGCACTAAACTCACAAGGGTCATATGGATTAATAAAGGTATCCATTGTATCTAAGTGTTGTATAGATGCTTTTTCCCATTAGAAGAGTTCTGTGCTATAACTAGTGTTTTTGTATTGCAGCACTAATATGAATAATATATAAGTTGCTGCACATTTGTATTTTAACAAGAAAAAGCGTTTGAACTAAATTTTTTTTTTTTTTTTTTTTTTTTTTTTTTTTTATTATCACACTGGCCGATTCCCACCAAGGCAGGGTGGCCCGAAAAAGAAAAACTTTCACCATCATTCACTCCATCACTGTCTTGCCAGAAGGGTGCTTTACACTACAGTTTTTAAACTGCAACATTAACACCCCTCCTTCAGAGTGCAGGCACTGTACTTCCCATCTCCAGGACTCAAGTCCGGCCTGCCGGTTTCCCTGAATCCCTTCATAAATGTTACTTTGCTCACACTCCAACAGCACGTCAAGTATTAAAAACCATTTGTCTCCATTCACTCCTATCAAACACGCTCACGCATGCCTGCTGGAAGTCCAAGCCCCTCGCACACAAAACCTCCTTTACCCCCTCCCTCCAACCCTTCCTAGGCCGACCCCTACCCCGCCTTCCTTCCACTACAGACTGATACACTCTTGAAGTTATTCTGTTTCGCTCCATTCTCTCTACATGTCCGAACCACCTCAACAACCCTTCCTCAGCCCTCTGGACAACAGTTTTTATAATCCCGCACCTCCTCCTAACTTCCAAACTACGAATTCTCTGCATTATATTCACACCACACATTGCCCTCAGACATGACATCTCCACTGCCTCCAGCCTTCTCCTCGCTGCAACATTCATCACCCATGCTTCACACCCATATAAGAGCGTTGGTAAAACTATACTCTCATACATTCCCCTCTTTGCCTCCAAGGACAAAGTTCTCTGTCTCCACAGACTCCTAAGTGCACCATTCACTCTTTTTCCCTCATCAATTCTATGATTCACCTCATCTTTCATAGACCCATCCGCTGACACGTCCACTCCCAAATATCTGAATACGTTCACCTCCTCCATGAAAATTAAATGTTGCAGAATTTATTACTATACATGTACTTTTAAAATGGATGAGCGTGTTTAAATTATAAAATGAAATCCAAGTGTAGAAATGTAGTATACCTTTTTAACCATTATATTCTAATCATAACCAAATGCTAAACGTGTAAGGGTCATATTTTTAACATAAGTTTAATTATCTAAATATTTGTTTTAAATATTTATAGTGTTTTCTTACATAGGGACCAAGGAAAGAAAAAAGTTCATGAGCGACTACACACTGGAGAAAGGCCTTTTGAATGTCAGTTATGTGGCCGTGGATTCTGTGAATCTGGTAATTTACGCAAACATCTCCGGGTTCATCAGCGCCGTCCCGGAGCTGTGGTCTCAGCAGTGTCTTCAGTAAGGGAGAGAGATCCTCTGGGAATTGGATCAACAGTTGTCTCCAGTGGGCAAAACTATAATGTTGCTGTAATCTCACATTCCACTTTCCCCACTCCTGAAATTCCTACTTGTCATAGTGTAGATGGGAATTCTGAGTCTTCCTTAATGGCTATAGTAGAGGTGCCCTTACCTGCCACAATCAGTAGTCGTCAAGCATCCCATTCTTTACCATTCAGTGCACCTACTCTGTCTGAACAAATAAGCGACTCTTCTGGTACTAGTAATCATGCTTCATTAACTTTGCAGCCTCATGAAAGTCCTAGTCTGCCCCAGGAAGAGCGAGAAAAGGAAGATTTTAGAGTTTCCTCTGCTCCATTTCATTCTGTTAGTTGGGCTCTTTATCCTAATTAACTTGAAATAATTTTGAGCTGGAAATTTTATTTTATTAAAGGCATTTTTGTTAAAATTAACATTGAGTGCCTTAGTTAATAAACATTCAACTGGCATACAGTTGAATGAGGAAATGCTTTGCCATGAATGGCTTCTTCAGTCTTTGAGAGAGAACCACAGGCAAGGTATATATAGTAAGCAAGAGGGATAGGATGAGGGGGGGGGGGCAGTGTAGACTGCAAGGGTGGGGAGAGGTACCTGCCAGGCATGGGCCAGTAGTCTCATTGCATCACCAAGACTCCAACTACTAGGTTAGACTTATGAAAAAATAAAGCTGCTGGAGTTCTGGGAAATAGTGTTTTTGTTAGTAATCAAAGTATTTTTCAGAGTGCTGTTTGATTAGGTTTTCTTCACAAGTGAAGGTTTGGCAACATTAAGTCATCACCAGGACAGAGCAATCATGTACAAGTTAAAGAGTATTGAAGCATTGCATTGCAGTACAGTACCTCTCCCATCGTTACAGTTTGCACTAGTCTTGCCCCCCCCCCAACCTTTTTCATAGCTCATCCTTTAATCCTCTTCAAGGGGGGCTCCTTGGCATGGTGAAGAGGCTCTTGGTCTGAGGAGTTAGACCTGTCGGTCTCCTTCCTCAGACCGAACCTAATTACCCCCAATCCCCCCTTCCCTATCCCATCCTCCCCTTTTCCCTTTCCTCCTCCCCCTCCCCATCCCTCTCTTTTGCCCTTCCTCTTTTTGGCCTTCGGGATTTTTCCCACAGGCGCGCTAGTTCCTAGGTAGGGGAAAGGGTACCGGGGTCCATCCCATTCCGTTGAGGTTCTTGGCGGTGGCGTAGTTTGCCGTGGAATCTGGATCGCCTGGGATGTCCCGATCCCTCTCCGGTATCCTGGAGAGTGGCTTTGGGTGTCTTTCGGGCGACAGGTGTATCTCTGGAAGCCACCTTTTGGATTCCGGGGGTGGTGGCTGAAGGAGGTATGCTTTGTGGCGGATATCCGGCCGCCCTCTCTTTTGTCCACCGAAGTAGCTCGGCAGATGTGAGGTTGCTATCCCGGATTGCTGGTTTACTGGCATGAAGGGTAGGGTATGGCACGGGTTCCATGCTGCATCTACGCTACTTGCGGTGCTGAGGTCCTCTTGGGCGTGGAGGGAGATTTCTGGCCCTTTCATTCCTCCTAGGAACTATCCCTCCCCGGTCCCCCCTTTTTTTATTCTTTTTTTTTATTTTTATTTTCTTTTCTTTTCTTTTTCTTAAAAACAAAAAGAAAGTAACCTAACCATGGAGAACCCAATCCATGAACCTGCTACTTCCGGGCCCCTTCTTGATACCGCACCCCGTTCTGACGCCGCCTCGTCTTTGGACCGCTCTTCAGACACTCCTCATGCCTCTGTACCTCTTGCAGGTGCTGTTTCCTCACCCGCTTCAGGTACTGAGGTCTCGACTGACTCCTTTGATTTATCTGACCTCCGCTCTCCTTTGACTATGCTTCCGGCCTCTCCCTCTACGGTGCGGCAATTTTCGAATCGCCGGCCCATTCCACATCGGACCAACTCTGGTCCCACGCCTCAACGCCAATTACCTGCTGATGATACTTCTCCACCTTCTCGTTCTTCTCAGAAAAGATCGACACGTCCTGCACTCCCTTTCCATGCTCAGTTTCAGTCTGCACAATGGACTAAATTCTTCACTTTACGACCGACTTCCTCTACCGCCTATCTTTCCGACCACAGTATTGGCAAGGCACTCCTACGCCATGTTGGTAAAGATATTTCTGTTGATGCTCTTAAGAGCGGTACACGCATCATCATGGTACAGAATGCTACCCAAGCTCATGATCTTTCTCTTCTTTCCCATATAGATACTGTTCCTGTCACTATTGAAAAACATCATTCCCTCAATTCTTGTAGTGGTACCGTCATTCTGCCCCATAAACCATACCCCCGGCCGGGATTGAACCCGCGGTCATAGAGTCTCAAAACTCATAGTTCAACAAAATTTCCAGACATGTGGCAATGACATTCTTGAACAGCTGGAACTCCAAGATCTCCCAATCCTCAAGGTAGACACTTATGTTCTTCCTGCCCGCGGGCGGAGACGATACCCTAGCAATGTGGCTCGTTTAACTTTTGACAGCCGTGAACTACCATCCTCAGTTTATCTAGCAGGACATCGGTTACAAGTTCGAATGGTGATCTCTAAACCGCAACAGTGTAGAAATTGCTGGCGATTTGGCCATCCAACGAAATATTGCAGATCCATAGCCGAATGCCCAGTCTGTGGTGCCGATGACCATTCTAATACGTCTTGCAATCGACCTACCTCTTGCCTTAATTGTCATGAGGCTCACCCTTCGTACTCTCACCGTTGCCAAGTCTACTTAAATGAGCGGGAAATCCGTTACCTCAAAGAGGCAGAAGGTCTCCCTTATGCCATGGCAGTTTCTCATCTCCGCCTCCGAGGGAGACTACCTCGTGTTTCTTATTCCCGTGCTTCAAAACGTCCCCCCACTTCTGGGGTCCCATCTTCTGCAGCCTCCTCTGTGGTTAGCTCTCCCATAGTCACTCCTGTATCTAATTCTTTTGCTGTCCTAGGCTCAGACGTCCCTACTTCAACGCCTCGGTCTGTTCACGCTTCTTCGTGTTCTCCCTCACAAGCCTCAGTATCGACGAGACCTCATACGACACCTCCTCCCAATCATCCCTCTACTTCTCAGAAGTCAAAAAAAGGTCCTTTAACCCCTACTTCCACCTCCTTATTTTACCTTCCCTGTCTCTGTACTGGGTTCTTCCCCTCTCACTGGCTCTGTTACAAGTGTAGAGGTTCACCCTCCTCCTCGTACTATACCTACCTCCTCTGTTCCCTCCCAAGTTTCTTCCTCTTCTGCCACCTCCCAGGTTTCTGCCTCTTCTGTCCCCTTCCACGCTTCTTCTCTAGTTCCCTCCACCCTTTTGCCCCCCTCCTACCTTGGTACAGTCCATTACAGTTCCAATCTTTACTCATCCTCCCCCTACCATCTCCAATATTGTCTCCCATACGACATCTCTGAATTCCGAAACACTTGAAGCAATCTCTGAATATATTGCAGAGACCAAACCATCAATGGACACTGATCCACCCTCTGTTCCTTCTCTCTCCTCTCCTCCATCTGCGCAACTCCTTTCTTCACAGCGCACCGTTCCTTCGCTGCTTGAACGTTTTCCGCTGCCTCCGCATGTGGACTTTTCTAACCCCTCTAGTCCGTAGGAACCCTTACCTGCGGATTTCAAGTATCTTTATCATTGCCAATCATGGCCTATTTACAGTGGAATATACGCAGCCTCAGGGGTAATCGGGGTGAGCTTCAGATGTTACTCTCCCAGTTTTCCCTGTTGGTGTTTGTTTTACAGGAACCAAAATTACACTCTGCTGTTATCTCTCCCATCTCAGGCTATAATTTATTGTATTATTCAGATCCTTTTCCTGATGGGACCTTTAATGAAAGTGCCCTTCTTCTACGCACTGATATTCTGTACCATCAGCTATTTGTTCGTACTTCGCTGCATTACACAGCAGCCCGTATCCACTTGCATAGGTGGTATACGCCCTGTTCTTTATATCTCTCTCCTTCTCGGGCATTAGCTATTCCGGATATTGCCTTTCTTGTTTCGTCATTACCACCACCGATTCTGTTACTTGGCGATTTTAATGCCCATCATTTCCTCTGGGGGGGTCTCACTGTGATTCCCGTGGCATTCAGTTAGAGGCTTTTCTTGCCACCCACCCCCTCCATGTTTTAAATACAGGTACTCGCACCCATTTTGATCCTCGGACTCACGCTCTCTCTTGCATCGATCTCTCAGTCTGCTCTTCCTCCGCCGCATTAGACTTCACCTGGTCTGTTCTCCCGGATTTACATGACAGCGATCATTTCCCAATCATTCTTACTTCCCCTTCATATTCACCACCTCTTCGTATCCCACGCTGGCAATTTGATCAGGCAAATTGGAACCTTTACTCACAACTAACTGTTTTTAGCGAGGTTCCTTCTTCGTCCTCCATTGATGAGCTTTTACACCTCTTCTTGTCCTCCGTTTTAACAGCAGCTTCTCATTCTATACCCCAAACTTCGGGCAGGCATTCTCAGAAATGCGTGCCTTGGTGGTCTTCTGCTTGTGCTCGTGCAGTACGTTTGAAACGCGCTGCATGGGGCAGGTACCGGTACAATAGAACCACGGAGAGACTTCTTGATTTTAAGCAGAAGCGTGCGATCGCTCGCCGTGTCATCCGTGACACTAAACGCACTTGCTGGCGAGATTGTGTCTCCACCATCACCTCTGCTTCCTCTACGAGTGCAATCTGGAAAAAAGTACGAAAACTGAGTGGTAAATATTCTCCTGACCCGGCTCCTGTTCTGCAGGTTGCCGGTGTTGATATAGCAAATCCACTAGATGTTGCCAATGAAATTGGCAATCATCTGGTCCATATTTCTCAGGGGCTCCATCTATGCCCCTCGTTTCTTTCCTCAGTCTGCCAGAGAGTTAACACCCTTGGACTTTTCTTCTCTCAGAGAAGAACAGTACATGTATAATGTGCCTTTTACACTTCAAGAACTGGAGGCAACACTCTCAGCTTGCCGATCACCGGCAGCTGGGCCTGACGACATTCATATTCGTATGCTACAACATTTACATCAGTCAGCCCTTGCAGTCCTATTATGCCTTTTCAATCTTATTTAGTCACAAGGAGTTCTTCCACAGCTGTGGAAATCTACCATTTTTCTCCCTTTCCGCAAACCAGGCACTACGGGACATGAAGCCTCCCACTATCGTCCCATTGCTCTTACCAGTGCAGTTTGCAAAGTGATGGAACGCCTGGTAAATAGACGTTTAGTGTGGTATTTAGAGACACACAACAGTCTCTCCACTCATCACTATGGCTTTCGTAAGGGACGTTCTACCATAGACCCCTTACTACGCTTGGATACGTATGTTCGTAATGCCGTTGCGAATAACCACCTAGTTATTGCCATATTTTTTGACCTTGAGAAGGCATATGACACAACTTGGAGGTATAATATTTTGGCCCAAGCCCACTCCTTAGGCCTCCGAGGCAATCTACCATCCTTCCTTAAGAACTTTTTAACTGATAGACATTTCCGTGTTCGGGTTAATAATGTGCTCTCCCCGGACTTTATCCAAGCTGAAGGTGTCCCCCAGGGATGTGTTCTGAGCACAACACTTTTTCTCCTTGCTATTAATGATTTGGCCTCTAGTCTTCCATCAAATATTTGGTCATCACTCTATGTTGATGACTTCACTATTACCTGTGCAGGCGCTGACTGTCACCTCATTACAGTTTCTCTCCAGCATGCGGTCGACCGTGTTTCCAATTGGGCCACCACACAAGGGTTTAAATTTTCCAGCACTAAAACCCACCAAATTACTTTCACTAGACGCTCTGTCATCTCCGATCATCCTTTGTACCTCTATGGCTCCCATATCCCTGAACGTGATAGTCAAGTTTCTGGGCCTCCTCTTTGACCGTAGGTTATCCTGGAAACCTCACATTACCTCTCTGAAGGCAACTTGTCACAGCCAGCTGAACCTTCTTAAAACCCTTGCTCATCTTTCATGGGGAGCTGATCGTCGAACCCTCCTTCGCCTACATTCCACCCTCATTTTATCGAAACTTGATTATGGTGACCAGATCTATTCAGCGGCATCTCCTGCTACTCTCTCTAGCCTTAACCCCATTCATCACCAAGGATTACGTTTATGCCTTGGTGCTTTTCGCTCTTCCCCTGTTGAGAGCCTCTATGCAGAAGCGAACGTTCCATCCTTATCCAATCGCCGTGATGCCCATTGCCTTCGCTACTATGTACGCTCTCATGATCTTCGCAATCCTTCCATTTATAGAATGGTCACTGATATTAGTAGACATTATTTGTTCGCCGCCCCTGTTTACTCCATCCCTTCTCTCTTCGCCTTCTTCTCTTCTCTTCAATTACCACCTTTCTATGTTCATGTAGCATCTCTCTTTTCCCTACTCCCCTGGGAAGTTCCAGCTGTTCGAGTCTGTTCTTTCTCTCTCCCTTGCTCGAAAGCCCAACTGTCTATGGTCACTTCCCGCTCTCTTTTTCTTGACCACTTCCACTCTCATTCTCATGCCATTGCTGTGTACACAGATGGCTCTAAGTTTTCTGACGGCGTAGGATTCGCAGCAGTGTTTCCGGACAGCATCGTATGAGGGCATTTACTATCTTCGGCTAGTATTTTTACTGCTGAATTGTATGGCATCCTTGCAGCACTTATCCGTATTGCATCTATGCCTGTGTCATCATTTGTGGTTGTCTCAGACTCCCTTATCGCTTTACAGGCTATACAGAAATTTGATACACCTCACCCCTTAGTCCTCCGTATCCAACTTTGGCTACGCTGCATCTTTACCAAGCATAAAGATATTGTTTTTTGTTGGGTCCCTGGTCATGTTGACGTACAGGGCAATGAACAGGCAGCACTGCTGCGCGGTGAGCAGTACATGACCTACCAGTTTCATATAGAGGTGAACATTAAAATGGTATAAAATACCGACAGGTTGTTAGGTAAGACACATATGCAACAGTTAGGTATCTTTATTATGAAACGTTTCGCCTACACAGTAGGCTTCTTCAGTCAAGTACAGAAAAGTTGATAGAAGCAGAAGATACTTGAAGACGATGTAATCAGTCCATCACCCTTAAAGTTTTGAGGTGGTCAGTCCCTCAGTCTGGAGAAGAGCATTGTTCCATAGTATGAAACAATATGGAGATGAAGTGACAGAATGGAGCTTTTTATAGCGCCAAGAGGTGAGACGGCTGAATTTGAGAGGGACCTGACCTTTCAACATCTGAGTTCTTACCTCTCCTAGTGGCCTACGTCTCACCTCTTGGCGCTATAAAAAGCTCCATTCTGTCACTTCATCTCCATATTGTTTCATACTATGGAACAATGCTCTTCTCCAGACTGAGGGACTGACCACCTCAAAACTTTAAGGGTGATGGACTGATTACATCGTCTTCAAGTATCTTCTGCTTCTATCAACTTTTCTGTACTTGACTGAAGAAGCCTACTGTGTAGGCGAAACGTTTCATAATAAAGATACCTAACTGTTGCATATGTGTCTTACCTTCATATAGAGGTATTCCATTTACGGACTATTTTGCTGCAATAAATTCCCACCTTCACACCCGTTGGCAACAACGTTGGTCTACTATGCTCAGTAACAAACTTAAACCTATTAAGCCGAGTATAGGTTACTGGCCGTCTTCTTATCACCAGTGTCGAGGTTGGGAGACTACTCTCTCCCATCTTCGCATTGGCCATACTCGTCTTACTCATGGATATCTCATGGAGAGGTGCCCTGCTCATCTCTGTGATAATTGCCAGGCTCCATTATCAGTCAGCCACATTCTGTTGGACTGCCCACTTTATCAACGAGCACGCAGAATTTACCTCCGTCGTCGTCTTCGCTCCGCTGCTCTCTCTTTACCTTCCCTTCTCGCTGATGGACCCACCTTTCATCCGGACACTCTCATTGACTTTTTGACAACAACTGACTTACTTCACAAATTCTGATACCTTCAGCCCTTTCTACCTCAATCTCTTGCTGCCCTCTACCCCCGTACTATCCCCTGTCCCGCTGTTTTCTGTAGCCTACTGATGATCCCTCCTCCCTTCTGCCGCCCAATACCCTCGCTTCCTTCCCTACCCTGCAGCGCTGTATAGCCCTTGTGGCTTAGCGCTTCTTTTTGCTTATAATAATAATATTTTATTATCATTATTATCACACTGGCCGATTCCCACCAAGGCAGGGTGGCCCGAAAAAGAAAAACTTTCACCATCATTCACTCCATCACTGTCTTGCCAGAAGGGTGCTTTACACTACAGTTTTTAAACTGCAACATTAACACCCCTCCTTCAGAGTGCAGGCACTGTACTTCCCATCTCCAGGACTCAAGTCCGGCCTGCCGGTTTCCCTGAATCCCTTCATAAATGTTACTTTGCTCACACTCCAACAGCACGTCAAGTATTAAAAACCATTTGTCTCCATTCATTAATCATTAATTCAAATTACATTTATATAAATGTTTATATAACCTTTTCCCCACTACAATATGCTGTGCATTATATAAATGTTTAGTAATTTTCCCTTGTTTTATTATTGCTACAGAACACATTAGAATCCTTGATCATACCTTCATTGCCCTATTGAAGTCTCCACATTCAAGAAAACTTAATTTCATTACAGTATTTATGCAACCTATCTTGTGATAAAAAAATGACAGGTAAATATAGCTAGGCTTTTGGTTCTTTGGAAGCGAAGGATTGCTTCAGTTCCATAGATCAAGAGGCCTACATCATCAAGGCACCCCTTAAAGGAAATGGTGCAAGATCATTCTTGATATTGAATGGAAATACATAAACAAATATTCTCTGAATGATAATCACAACTGAAGCATCAAGTAGTCCTGGTTTCCTTGGAAACTTACCTCATACCTTACCCAGTGTGTACTATAACACTGGTACCTACTATTTGGACAACATTGACACAAGCCTTGTTCAGCTTATGATGGTGGAGGGCAAACTAGAGTGAATATCAAAATTATATTTCTTCAACAATGCTTCCACTATCAAGAGTCCCTTACCATTGCCAAGTCATCCTCCTTAAACAGAAAGAGTTTGAATGCCTTATTATGCACTGTATCCATCCTGTAGGTAGTACTTCCAATCAACCAAGGAGCAAAAGGCTATAAATCTCCATGAAGGACATGGCTTAGCGCTTCTTTTTGATTATAATAATAATAATAATCCATGAAGGACATCTTTTTAACACACCGGCTGTATCCCACCGAGGCGGGGTGGCCCAAAAGGAAAAACGAAAGTTTCTCCTTTTACATTTAGTAATATATACAGGAGAAAGGGTTACTAGCCCCTTGCTCCCAGCATTTTAGTCGCCTCTTACGACACGCACGGCTTACGGAGGAAGAATTCTGTTCCACTTCCCCATGGAGATGAAGGACATAGCTTATGATATTTTGTACATAACTTCATTAATTTATCTTTCATATTATCAAATTCCAGGTATCATTAATCAAACTCGCATAAACTTTCTATAGCCACTTGAATGGGTGATGAACTGTTCTAGTACCATTGCAGTTAGCCCGTGTGACAAACCACTCGTAGAAGTCTTCGATAACCTTCTGCTCATAGAAGAGTGGGTCGTGGAGTTTCACACACACATCACACAGGATGCGACTTCCACCTATAGTGGAAGGTTGATAGTACTTCCTCCACTTCAGTAGCTTCAGATACTCCTGCCAAAATGCAATTATGCTGTTAAAGAAATACCTATATAGTGCAAGACATACTCTCCTTTCCACATCTCTAAACTGGGAAATGTAGTACAGTACCTATAAAAATTTTAACTAAAGGAATGCTGTATGACCCTTGTGGGTTTAGCGCTTAATTGTAATAATAATTAACTAAAGGAATAAAAGATTAAAGTACTGATCTACAAGGGATGAATATTTACAAATACAGGATGGGATGAACAGATGTTACTTTGGGAAACTTTTGAGGACAACTGCAGTGCTCTATGACCCTTGCGGGTTTAGCATTTAGTTTTGATTATAAAAATAATGACAACTGCAATACAACAAAAATTTTTTTTGTATAGAGTAGTCACTGCACTGAGTAAGTTATTATATTCATGGGCCCTTCAGCACCTGGATAATGGGTAGTACAGTAGTTAGATTTTATCCAAGAAAGGGCTCTTGGTGAGGGGCTCTTAATCAAAGGAATTTGATTACCCTCCCCTTCCTTGGATCAACTCTGATTGCCTCCTATTCATGCAAGTGCTGTGTGACCCTATGGGTTCAGCACTTCCCCATATATATAATATCCATGGTAAGCTCTAATTCTTTAGATCAGGAGCCCTTCACCATCAAGGCAACTCCTCTTGAAGAGGGTGTAATTAAACTTCTAAACCATTACACGACACTACTCCCTACCTTTGGATGAGCAGCCAGGTAAGTGAGCTTTTTAGCTAGCTGTTGTGGCGTGTAGTGAAGGGCGTTGATGTAAGAGTTTGGAGGCATCACAGAAGTGTAATCGGCTCCTCCCAGCACCACTGGCACCATCGGGTAAAAGAGCAAGTTGTACAGCTTCTCAGTCACGTAGTCCTTGCATAAAGCATTCTCGAATGATAGGTAAAATAGGTAATTTTCCCCAGCCATCTTCATACAGGGGTCTGACTCAGGCTTGTAGTTGTGCTGAGTGTAATGGGATGATCCACATTCCAGGTCCCCACATTTTCCGTAAACATCAACAGGGATGTGATTCTTCAGAGCTTTGATATATTCCAGTCTCCCACTGTTGGCCTTGCAGTTAGAGATGAATGCCACAGCTAGTTTGCTTCTGTTGCTGTGTGGCTGAAGAATAGGTTCCCGACGCCATGGTAAAGGCAGAAAGTTGGCATCCTTGCCACGATGTACAATGAATCCGTGAAATAACATGATGTCAGAGTCTTGTCGGTAATGCATTGTGCGGTTGAAGAAGCTGTCCAGTGCTTTGTATTGGGTATGGTATATGTCATTCCCCAGCAAGTGCGTCTCAGTTTCAAACATTATCCAGGGCTGGGATGGATCACGTGGACCCAAGTCGTGCAGCACTTTTTCCGGACTTTCCACACTACGCAAGTGGATCATCACAGCATCAGCAGTCTTCAGCTGGGGTGGTAAAAGCTTGAGATGAACTACAATCTTACTACTGTATATTTTTAGAATTAAGAAAAAAAAAATTAAGACAAAAATGAGAAGGATGAAGATATGCGACATGTGTTAATGAATGAAAGTGGCACTCGGGGTCAGCGAGAAATAACTGAAAGGGATCAACCTCAAAATCCGAGTTACCAGAAGGTGCAGTTACACTCAGAGCTGTAAAATACAATTAACCAATGGTGGCGGTGATGAACGACTGAACTAATGTTGTTAGCTATGCACTGGGCTCCTTCAATTAGTAAACTGAATTGTGGCTACCATTTAAGTTTAGTGTTTAATACCCCTCAAAGGAGATGGCGTGATGGAGATGAGGTGTTCCTGATTCAAGGAAGTAGACCTCTCTATCCTGTTCCTTGGATCGAACCTGGCTGCCTTCCATTCTCCATGCATTTTATGTCTACAAAGCAGCGCTGTATAGCCCTTGTGGCTTAGCGCTTCTTTTTTATTATAATAATAATAATATGTAGTAATATGTATAATAATAATATAGTAGTAGGTTGGTAGACAGCAACCACCCAGGGAGGTACTACCGTCCTGCCAAGTGAATGTAAAACGAAAGCCTGTAATTGTTTTTACATGATGGTAGGATTGCTGGTGTCTTTTGTCTGTCTCATAAATATGCAAGACTACAGGTATGTCTTGCTACTTCTACTTACACTTAGGTCACACTACACATACATGTACACGTTTATTTATACACACTCAACTGAGTTTTCTTTGATTTTATCTTAATAGTTCTTGGTCTTATTACTTTTCCTTTTATATCCATGGGGAAGTGGAATAAGAATCTTTCCTCCGTAGGCCATGCGTGTTGTAAAAGTCAACTAAAATGTCGGGAACAATGGGCTAGTAACCCCTTTTCCTGTAAAGATTACTAAAAAGAATAAGAAGAAGAAAATTGTCAAAGTGGGAAGTCTGAATGTGCGTGGATGTTGTGCAGATAAGAAAGAGATGATTGTGGATGTTATGAATGAGAAGAAGCTGGATGTCCTGGCTTTAAGTGAAACAAAGCTGAAGGGGGTGGGAGAGTTTCAATGGAGAGGAATAAATGGGATTAGGTCAGGGGTTTCAAATAGAGTTAGAGCTAAAGAAGGAGTAGCAATAATGTTGAAGGATAAGCTATGGCAGGAAAAGAGGGACTATAAATGCATTAATTCAAGGATTATGTGGAGTAAAATTAAGATTGGATGTGAAAAGTGGGTTATAGTAAGCGTGTATGCACCTGGAGAAGAGAGAAGTGTAGAGGAGAGAGAGAGATTTTGGGAAATGTTGAGTGAATGCGTGGGGAGTTTTGAATCAAGTGTGAGAGTAATGGTGGTTGGTGATTTCAATGCTAAAGTGGGTAAAAATGTTACGGAGGGAGTAGTAGGTAAATTTGGGGTGCCAGGGGTAAATGTAAATAGGGAGCCTTTAATTGAGCTATGTGTAGAAAGAGATTTGGTAATAAGTAATACATATTTTATGAAAAAGAGGATAAATAAATATACAAGGTATGATGTAGCAAGTAATGAAAGTAGTTTATTAGATTATATATTGGTGGATAAAAGGTTGATGGGTAGGCTCCAGGATGTACATGTTTATAGAGGGGCAACTGATATATCGGATCATTTTTTAGTTGTAGCTACAGTAAGAGGTAGATGGGAAAAGAGGAAGGTGGCAACAACAAGTAAGAGGGAGGTGAAAGTGTATAAACTAAGGGAGGAGGAAGTTCGGGTGAGATATAAGCGACTATTGGCAGAAAGATGGGTTAGAGCAAAGATGAGTAGTGGGGGGGTTGAAGAGGGTTGGAATAGTTTCAAAAATGCAGTATTAGAATGTGGGGCAGAAGTTTGTGGTTATAGGAGGGTGGGGGCAGGAGGAAAGAGGAGTGATTGGTGGAATGATGAAGTAAAGGGTGTGATAAAAGAGAAAAAGGTAGCTTATGAGAGGTTTTTACAAAGCAGAAGTGTTATAAGAAGAGCAGAGTATATGGAGAGTAAAAGAAAGGTAAAGAGAGTGGTGAGAGAGTGCAAAAGGAGAGCAGATGATAGAGTGGGAGAGGCACTGTCAAGAAATTTTAATGAAAATAAGAAAAAAATTTGGAGTGAGTTAAACAAGTTAATTATTATTATTATAATCAAAAAAGAAGCGCTAAGCCACAAGGACTATACAGCGCTTAAACAAGTTAAGAAAGCCTAGGGAAAGTATGGATTTGTCAGTTAAAAACAGAGTAGGGGAGTTAGTAGATGGGGAGAGGGAGGTATTAGGTAGATGGCGAGAATATTTTGAGGAACTTTAAATGTTAGGAAGAAGAGAGGCAGTAATTTATGCACTGGAAAGGGGGTTTTACATCTTTGGAGTGAAGAAAGAGCAGAATGTAAGCGTGGGGGGAGGTACGTGAGGCATTTTCGTAGAATGAAAGGGGGTTAAAGCAGCTGGAACTGATGGGATCATGACAGAAATTTTAAAAACAGGGGGGGATATTTGTGTGTTGGAGTGGTTGGTATTTTTGTTTAATAAATGTATGAAAGAGGGGAAGGTACCTAGGGATTGGAAAAGGGGACAAAAGAGATTGTAAAAATTATAGAGGAATAAGTTTACTGAGTATACCAGGAAAAGTATACGGAAGGGTTATAATTGAAAGAATTAGAGGTAAGACAGAATGTAGGATTGCGGATGAGCAAGGAGGCTTCAGAGTGGGTAGGGGATGTGTAGATCAAGTGTTTACATTGAAGCATATATGTGAACAGTATTTAGATAAAGGTAGGGAAGTTTTTATTGCATTTATGGATTTAGAAAAGGCATATGATAGAGTGGATAGAGAAGCAATGTGGCAGATGTTGCAAGTATATGGAATAGGTGGTAAGTTATTAAATGCTGTAAAGAGTTTTTATGAGGATAGTGAGGCTCAAGTTAGGGTGTGTAGAAGAGAGGGAGAATACTTCCCGGTAAAAGTAGGTCTTAGACAGGGATGTGTAATGTCACCATGGTTGTTTAATATATTTATAGATGGGGTTGTAAAGGAAGTAAATGCTAGGGTGTTCGGGAGAGGGGTGGAATTAAATTTTGGGGAATAAAATTCAAAATGGGAATTGACACAGTTACTTTTTGCTGATGATACTGTGCTTATGGGAGATTCTAAAGAAAAATTGCAAAGGTTAGTGGATGAGTTTGGGAATGTGTGTAAAGGTAGAAAGTTGAAAGTGAACATAGAAAAGAGTAAGGTGATGAGGGTATCAAATGATTTAGATAAAGAAAAATTGGATATCAAATTGGGGAGGAGGAGTATGGAAGAAGTGAATGTTTTCAGATACTTGGGAGTTGACGTGTCGGCGGATGGATTTATGAAGGATGAGGTTAATCATAGAATTGATGAGGGAAAAAAGATGAGTGGAGCAGTGAGGTATATGTGGAGTCAAAAAACGTTATCTATGGAGGCAAAGAAGGGAATGTATGAAAGTATAGTAGTACCAACACTCTTATATGGGTGTGAAGCTTGGGTGGTAAATGCAGCAGCGAGGAGACGGTTGGAGGCAGTGGAGATGTCCTGTTTAAGGGCAATGTGTGGTGTAACTATTATGCAGAAAATTCGGAGTGTGGAAATTAGGAAAATGTGTGGAGTTAATAAAAGTATTAGTCAGAGGGCGGAAGAGGGGTTGTTGAGGTGGTTTGGTCATTTAGAGAGAATGGATTTAAAGTAGAATGACATGGAAAGCATATAAATCTATAGGGGAAGGAAGGCGGGGTAGGGGTCGTCCTCGAAAGGGTTGGAGAGAGGGGGGTAAAGGAGGTTTTGTGGGCGAGGGGCTTGGATTTCCAGCAAGCGTGCGTGAGCGTGTTAGATAGGAGTGAATGGAGACGAATGGTACTTGGGACCTGACGATCTGTTGGAGTGTGAGCAGGGTAATATTTAGTGAAGGGATTCAGGGAAACCGGTTATTTTCATATAGTCGGACTTGAGTCCTGGAAATGGGAAGTACAATGCCTGCACTTTAAAGGAGGGGTTTGGGATATTGGCAGTTTGGAGGGGTATGTTGTGTATCTTTATATGTGTATGCTTCTAAACTGTTGTATTCTGAGCACCTCTGCAAAAACAGTGATAATGTGTGAGTGTGGTGAAAGTGTTGAATGATGAAAGTATTTTCTTTTTGGGGACTTTCTTTCTTTTTTGGGTCACCCTGCCTCGGTGGGAGACGGCCAACTTGATGAAAAAAAAAAAGTCTACAAAACCTTGAGTTCAGCGCTTCCCCTTGAATATAATAATAGTGATTAATAACAAAAATCTATAATTTATATTAACCTTTTAATTCAATAAAGATGTCACAGTTTTTAGATGTTTTGTCATTCGTTACACAAACTACATAACATTGAGTGTGCAGACTTAGTGACGACCAATGACAGTGCCAATAGAATGAAGTACAATTACATAACGAAGAGAGCTTTAATTACTGACACAGCATTCCAAAGAACAGCAACACAGGCTGACAAATATAAAGCAGCACCAACATTAGATAGGAGGAAAAATAAAATTAAGAGCAAAAAGGTACAGGAATTGCTGTACCAACACCAGTGCTGTAAAATTAAGCACAAGAGCAACAACAAAATTGAATGCATTGGTACCAGTGGTGGAAGGATCCATGTATTGGTACCAGCGATGGAAGGATACATGTATTGGTACTAGTTGTTAATTGATCCATGCATTGGTACCAGTGGTGGAAGGATCCATGTATTGGTACCAGCGATGGAAGGATACATGTATTGGTACTAGTGGTTAATTGATCCAAAGCATTGGTACCAGTGGTGGAAGGATCCATGTACTGGTACCAACGATGGAAGGATACATGTATTGGTACTAGTGGTTAATTGATCCATGCATTGGTACCAGTGGTGGAAGGATCCATGTACTGGTACCAACGATGGAAGGATACATGTATTGGTACTAGTGGTTAATTGATCCATGCATTGGTACCAGTGGTGGAAGGATCCATGTATTGGTACCAGCGATGGAAGGATACATGTATTGGTACTAGTGGTTAATTGATCCATGCATTGGTACCAGTGGTGGAAGGATTCATGTATTGGTATCAGTGATGGAAGGATCCACGTATTGGTACCAGTGGTGGAAGGATCCATGTATTGGTACCAGTGGTGGAAGGACCCATGTACTGGTACCAGTGGTGGTAGTATTCATGTACTGGTAATATAGTAATGGAAGGATCTATATAGTGGTACCAGTACTAGAACGATCCTTGTGATGATACCATGCTGGAAAGATCCATGTAATGGTTCAGGAAGACTGGGAGCTCTCACACAATGGTGTGAAGGGACCGGAAATAGAGCCTAACAAACGTACCCCGTGTGTAAGTGGCACCAAAAATGAATAACTGTTCAGCTATTAATTTTTTTAAATTAAATGTACATGATACACTTGTCAAGTAATAAATCTTGCTTATCGTGGTCATTATAAAGTGGAACTACCAGCTGCTTAATATATCTAACTTTTATGATGGATGTGAAGTTTTCAGTTTTCAAGAACACTTTGAGAGAGATCACTTAGCACTTTTGCCAATAAAAATTTAATACATAACAAGAACAAAACCAGCAAATATAAAAGCTACTAGTACAAACAAGACTCAAAGCAAATAGTACTGTATTATTGATTTAAAAAGCGCCCACACTGGTTAAAATCCTCATTAAATTAGTAATGTGAAAACGACTCCAAGTTCTCCGAGGTCCCCACAGATACCCTATTATAAAAAAAAAAAACCATGACGAGTGAAAAGGTTGTAGCTTTATAGACACAAACAATACGTGCAAACACTTGCCTCACTGAGGTTGGTGGTGACGTGACATGGCAGAGGACAAAGGTTCTGTTCCATGTCCACTGTGTGGTATTTAAGCCACTTGATATTTACAAATAGCTCGTAGATGTAAATACCTTAGGAATGCTGCCAGATCTGAAACTGAAAAGTGGAAAAGATGAATATGATCTCTCATTATTTTTGTAGTTAGGAGTTTGAAAACTTAGAGTATACTGAGTGATGGGATTTGTCGCAAGATGGATTTTTTTTAAGTGGGGAGACCCATTGCGTAATTATAATCTTTATCTACAATATTGGAGTTAATCTTCACCTGGATCAAACATGATTACCTCCCATTCACCAGACAATATAATCCCTAAGAGTTTAGAGGTTTCCATATTATAATGAATTATATTCACAAAATGCACGCAACCCGTACGGGTCATAAAGGCATCACAAGACTGATGGGAGCTATCGGAAAAGAGAAACAGTGTGACAAATTAATTTATGAATTAACAAGGAGGGATAAAGTTGCCGTAATATATTACCTGTGCAATAAAGAACCCAGTGTCTGATCTGAAAGTAGAGCTTTCTGAAGGAAGAGCTTTCTGAAGGAAGAGCTTTCTGAAGGAAGAGCTTTCTGAAGGAAGAGCTTTCTGAAGGAAGAGCTTTCTGAAGGAAGAGCTTTCTGAAGGAAGAGCTTTCTGAAGGAAGAGCTTTCTGAAGGAAGAGCTTTCTGAAGGAAGAGCAGGGAAAGTGAGAGCATCCAGGCGCTGGAAAACAGATCGAAAATGAATTCTACGTGCTGTCTGACAAGCAGTACAATTAAAAGTTACTCAATTGGGCTCGAGTCTCGACAAGTTACAGAGAGCCACCGGGCGTCTCTCCATGCGAAATCCCTGTGTAGCTAATACACAGTCGTGAGAACAGTTTCCTGAACGTGACAACAATGAAAACAAGTCGACCAAGAACCCGACTGTGGTTTGAGTAAGAACAACATGTTGTCCTGGAACCTGCACCAACGATGTTGGCATCGATCTCGAATGATCTTAAATAAAATTGGAAAATAGTCCGAGTCGGGTACCTCCCTGCAAGAGATGAACCAGTCCTGGACTATGGAACATGCAGAAGAGTCAAAGTTCATCGCCCTGGGCACCAGAATGTCCAGGGACTGAATTAAACTGTTTTTATGCTTGCTGAAGAGGTAACAGCCAGCGTTAAATGCGACGGACGATGAGGTGCGAGAAGTCAAACATTTCTTGGCAAAAAGACTGATAAATTAACTGAAAAAATACATTGAAAGAAAAAACTGAATATAACTTCAGTCTTTGTGTTAAGCATTAGAAATAATATTAGAAGAATGTAAATACGTAATGAATATTAAATGTCGCAGGAATAGAGTGCATTATAAACTGAAGAGTTTATAATGGACTTTGAGAGTCAGTGACAACAGAAGTAGGAAGAGAAACAACGTAGATGATAATACTAGCCATAAAATAAGTGTCCCTATATTACACTATCCGGAAAGACAGCTGCGTATCCTACACCGTCAGATGATTTAAAGGCATCAGCTTACCCAGCAGAATCATGAGAGTATAATTGCAATTGATCTAAGAAGAGAAAGCTGGTGTGCATAGCAGTGATAACAGACTTTCAGAAAGGGAATAGAGAGACATACCCTAATCATCGATACTTCGCAGGGTGAAGGAGAAAAGAAATGAACTGGGTAAATAAAGAAGGGTATAAAGTGAAATATAATGATAAAAACTATGGGATGTTTGAAGGTTCTAGGTTATTACTGGCGTGACGCTGGTTTAATGTTTCATGCGAAGATGAACGACGAAAGTCCATGTGTAGCAGGGAAACCCACGCTACTGTACTCACCTAGTTGTGGTTGCGGGGGTTGATTCATAGCTCCTGGCCCCGTCTCTTCGTTGGTCGCTACTAGGTCCACTCTCTCCCTGCTCCATGAGCTTTACCCTACCTGTGTACTCACCTAGTTGTGGTTGCGGGGGTCGAATCACAGCTCCTGGCCCCGCCTCTTCACCTGGCCGCTATCCGGTCACTCTTCCCGCTCCGTGAGTTTTATCATACCTCTTCTTAAAGCTATGTATGGATCCTGCCTCCACTACATCACTCGCGCGCGCACGCACACACACACACACACACACACACACACACACACACACACACACACACACACACACAGGCAGGAGTGCAAAGAGACCTGGACAGACTGGACACGTGGTCCAGAAACTGGCTTCTCGAATTCAACCCTGCCAAATGCAAAGTCTTGAAGATTGGGGAAGGGCAAAGAAGACCGCAGACAGAGTATAGGCTAAGTGGACAAAGACTATAAACCTCACTCAAATAGAAAGATCTTGGGGTGACCATAACACCGAGCATGTCTCCGGAGGCATACAGTTAGTTAGTTTAATATGTTTATTATGCACCCCATACCAATCCTGTGGGCGGTAGTCAAAAGATTACAGAGGTACATAATTGGTCCAGGGACTGGACTCCAAAGTTTTGATAGCTGAGCAAGTTACAGAGGTAATGAACTCACAATTTACAAAGGTAATGAACTCACAATTTACAAAGGTAATACTCACATTCAAAGTAAGAACTCACAATTTACAAAGGTAATGAACTCACAATTTACAAAGGTAATGAACTCACAATTTACAAAGGTAATGAACTCACAATTTACAAAGGTAATGAACTCACAATTTACAAAGGTAATGACTCACAATTTACAAAGGTAATGAACTCACAATTTACAAAGGTAATGAACTCACAATTTACAAAGGTAATGAACTCACAATTTACAAAGGTAATGAACTCCAGGTAAGTCTGGTCACAATCATGACAAGTTACAAAGGTATTTACAGATTACAGAGGTACGTAATGGGTCCAGGGACTGGGCCCCCAAAGTTTTGATAGCTGAACTAGGTACAAAGGCAATGAGCTCACAAGTTACAAAGGTAATGAATTCTGTAGAATGGTTACTTACGTTTATACTTTGGCTACAATCATGAACAAATTATAGAGTAATGAGCAATTCACACTTCCACACCCGGTCACAACTGTAATGAGTTATTGGTGCAAATATTGATTGTTGAGTCACACACACCACACACACACACACACACACACACACACACACACACACTTTAGTTTAATATCTTTATGCACCCCATACCCATCCTGTGGGCGGTAGTCAACCAGATAACTGCTGCAGCATATGGGCGCCTGGCAAGCCTAAGAATAGCGTTCCGATACCTTAATAAGGAATCGTTCAAGATACTGTACACTGTGTACGTCAGCCCATACTAGAGTATGCAGCACCAGTTTGGAACCCACACCTGGTCAAGCACGTCAAGAAATTAGAGAAAGTACAAAGGTCTGCAACAAGGCTAGTTCCAGAGCTCAGGGAAATGTCCTACAATGAAAGGTTGAGGGAAATCGAACTGATGACACTGGAGGACAGGAGGGTCAGGGGAGACATGATAACGACATACAAGATACTGCGGGGAATAGATAAGGTGGACAGAGACAGGATGTTCCAGAGAGGGGGCACAGAAACAAGGGGTCACAATTGGAAGCTGAAAACTCAGACGAGTCACAGGGATGTTAGGAAGTATTTCTTCAGTCAGAGTCGTCAGGAAGTGGAATAGCCTAGCAAGTGATGTAGTGGAGGCAGGAACCATACATAGCTTTAAGACGAGGTATGACAAAGCTCAGGAAGCAGAGAGAAGAGGAGAGAGAGAGAGAGAGAGAGAGAGAGAGAGAGAGAGAGAGGGCCTAGTAGCGATCAGTGAAAAAGCGGGGCCAGGAGCTGAGTCTCGACCCTGCAACCACAACTAGGTGAGTACACACACACACACACACACTTCTTTGGATCACATCTGATTGTCTCCCATTCTCCATGCGCTGTATGACTTACGGGTTTAGCTCTTCCCCTGATTATAATAACAACAGTAATGTATGTGTGAATACAAGCCTCACGGATGCTGAAATATATACCAAACCTTCGAAGACAAATTTAGAAAAATCGCAGCAAAAGACACATTGTGTACGCTTGACAAAGCTCCTGGAGAGCGAAACGTTGCCACAATAAAATGTCACATTAGTTTCACTTGCGTCCTTTTACCTAACAATGTCGGTATTTCTGCCAACATTAATACAAAAGACACTAACAATTACACGTATTTCGTCACAAACTAAGTAGAAATTTTTTAACGGCATTTAAAAAAAACTGGGGTCACTGGCTAGCGTACAGCGAGTCAACAAGCACTGACATTCACCTCGGATCATACATTCTGAAGAAACCAAGTGAAAGTAAAATGTGAATTAAACAAAACCGCTTGAGAATGTTATCCGGGATTCACTTATAGAAAAAAAATATGTTGATAAGTGGCTAATCCAGCAAATCAGCTTGTGTGGAAGGCGTTATGTTGAAGAGTCTGGCATGCATTGTCGAAAATATTTGTGTCATATCTCTAATTCTTAGGCATTGGGGACAGTACAGCACAATGTCAGAGAGACAAGATTACTTTCGTAGAATTGTATCACCGAATGAGTCTTCAGAGGCCATTTGGAAAGTCTTCAACATGGTAGCGAAGAACTGGTCCTGGAAGTGGTCTGCTGCACCTGTAAAACAATGACAGTCTTGTGGCGTCTGGCTGTAAAACTTGTTGGTGGTTTGACAATTCAAAAAGGGGGAGCCATGATGATGGTGAAAGTTTTTTTTATCATTTTCCTAGGATTAAACATGACTGCCTCCCATTTCCCAGGTTTTGATAAACAGGATGTTTGTTTGAGCACTGGTATTGTTTGACCAGTGGTATTAAATAAGACTTTCCCCTCAAACAAAGAACCTTGATGAAGTCCTGATGTTTTTAATTCAAGGAAGTTGACCAGTTTTCACTTTCCTTGAATCAAACCTAAAAATATCTCATTCTCCAGGAATTATATGATCCCAGACTGAGAGTCGAAGATCAAAATTAATTTTTTATGAGAGAGCCACAAAATTTGGTTAACACAAGCCTATCCGATGTTATCCTGACGCCAAATGACTTCGAACAGGCGATAAATGACATGCCCATGCACTCTGCCCCAGGGCCAGACTCATGGAACTCTGTGTTCATCAAGAACTGCAAGAAGCCCCTATCACGAGCCTTTTCCATCCTATGGAGAGGGAGCATGGACACGGGAGTCGACCCACAGTTACTAAAAACAACAGACATAGCCCCACTCCACAAAGGGGGCAGTAAAGCAACAGCAAAGAACTACAGACCAATAGCACTAACATCCCATATCATAAAAATCTTTGAAAGGGTCCTAAGAGGCAAGATCACCATCCATCTAGAAACCCATCAGTTACACAACCCAGGGCAACATGGGTTTAGAACAGGACGCTCCTGTCTGTCTCAACTATTGGATCACTACGACAAGGTCCTAAATGCACTAGAAGATAAAAAGAATGCAGATGTAATATATACAGACTTTGCAAAAGCCTTCGACAAGTGTGACCATGGCGTAATAGCGCACAAAATACGTGCTAAAGGAATAACAGGAAAAGTCGGTCGATGGATCTATAATTTCCTCACTAACAGAACACAGAGAGTAGTCGTCAACAGAGTAAAGTCCGAGGCAGCTACGGTGAAAAGCTCTGTTCCACAAGGCACAGTACTCGCTCCCATTTTGTTCCTCATCCTCATATCCGACATAGACAAGGATGTCAGCCATAGCACCGTGTCTTCCTTTGCAGATGACACCCGAATCTGCATGACAGTGTCTTCCACTGCAGACACCTCAAGGCTCCAGGCGGACATCAACCGAATCTTTCAGTGGGCTGCAGAAAACAATATGAAGTTCAACGATGAGAAATTTCAATTACTCAGATATGGTAAACACGAGGAAATTAAATCTTCATCAGAGTACAAAACAAATTCTGGCCACAAAATAGAGCGAAACACCAACGTCAAAGACCTGGGAGTGATCATGTCGGAGGATCTCACCTTCAAGGACCATAACATTGTATCAATCGCATCTGCTAGAAAAATGACAGGATGGATAATGAGAACCTTCAAAACTAGGGAGGCCAAGCCCATGATGACACTCTTCAGGTCACTTGTTCTATCTAGGCTGGAATATTGCTGCACTCTAACAGCACCTTTCAAGGCAGGTGAAATTGCCGACCTAGAAAATGTACAGAGAACTTTCACGGCGCGCATAACGGAGATAAAACACCTCAATTACTGGGAGCGCTTGAGGTTCCTAAAACTGTATTTCCTGGAACGCAGGCGGGAGAGATACATGATTATATACACCTGGAAAATCCTAGAGGGACTAGTACCGAACTTGCACACGAAAATCACTCACTACGAAAGCAAAAGACTTGGCAGACGATGCAACATCTCCCCAATGAAAAGCAGGGGTGTCACTAGCACGTTAAGAGACCATACAAAAAGTGTCAGGGGCCCGAGACTGTTCAACTGCCTCCTAGCATACATAAGGGGGATTACCAACAGACCCCTGGCAGTCTTCAAGCTGGCACTGGACAAGCACCTAAAGTCGGTTCCTGACCAGCCGGGCTGTGACTCGTACGTTGGTTTGCGTGCAGCCAGGAGCAACAGCCTGGTTGATCAGGCTCTGATCCACCAGGAGGCCTGGTCACAGACCGGGCCGCGGAGGCGTTGACCCCCGGAACTCTCTCCAGGTAAACTCCAGGTACGGGTTTAGCATACATAGCAAAATACAAACATAATACATAAATTACTAGGCCAGATTTTCTTGGGGTGGGCAGGCACCTGCTAGAAGAAAAATGAAATCCTTGCAATACTGCAAACAATTATTGCAGCGCTGCCTGAACGATAAGAAAAACGTACCTTCCTGTGATGTTGAGTTGTTTGTGGTCACCACGTCGATGTTTACATCTGGTCCAGGTGGATATGAAGCCATTAACCCTAGACACTGAACTTCATCCCGTGATACTCTTTGCCCACCACCTGCAGACAGCTCACCGTTCACCAGGTCAGAACATACAGGCTCCGACTTCTTGTATAAGGACAAGTTCGGAGGGTTTCGGGGCAGCAGAGATGTCAGCTTCAAGTTATTCTCTATTTTTGTCGTCAAATACTGCACGCTGAGGAAGATATAAATCAGAGGCAACAGATTAGTTTTAAAGTTTGGCGAAAGTTGCGATTTTTTTTTTTTGTGTGGCAGAAGAGGCACTTTGCTCTCGACATTTTTAAAACAAATGTGGCATTAATTTATCCTTTTATCTGCAAAATTTTAGGTGTATATATTGGACCGTAAGTCTGAAAATGGAAGGCAGGATAGGATAAATCTGATATCGTGTAAAACTATCTTTTCTTATTTCTATAATAATACATTATCCTCCAGTATTGTATTTACAACACTACATCCTTCAGTATTGTAGTTAAAGCATTACATTTTTCGGTACTGTATTTACAGCATTACATCCTTCAGTATTGTATATACAGCATTACATCCTTCAGTATTGGATATACAGTATTATAACTGTTTACGTAGTCAAGCAGGAAACAAGAGGCCAGGGTGAGTGTGTTTACACCAGCACAACTCTAAACTGGATTAGAGATTTTTTTTTGTGAATATGATTTAAAGTGGAGCACTGTAACTCGCTGATAAAAATTGATTACGTACTGGTGGAGAGCCTTAAATCCGTTGAGATCCTACAGTGCCTGGGCAAATGGGAGGCAATTAGGCTCGATCTAAGGATGGGGAATATAGGTACAAATCCTTGGATCAACATCCGCTCCCCGGCATCAAGTACCCCTTGAAGGGTACAAATATTTATACAAACTATACATGGATACACGGTATTACTGTCTAGTACAAATAGCAAAGTATCCCATAGAGGCGGGGCCAGGAGCTTGGACTCGACCCCTGCAACCTCAACTAGGTGAGTACGGTGAAACATCTGACGGCTGAACTGATCTACGCGACGAGTGACGACTCGAGGTCCTCCGCAGTACTGAAAGATACCTGGCGTTAACACTACACTAGTAAGTTTATTCAGATACAGTTACACAAATACAGTTACATAAATTATCATACATAACAGTATATATGTAGATTACCCAAAAAAGTCAAAATGACTTATTTCCACTGTGGTCCTTGTAATATCTTATTATTTAAATCTTACAAGGTAAAACAGCTAAGTAACTCGACTATGTGAAAAACAGTTACAATAGAAGGAGATATACAAGGAATAAGGTAAAGAGAGGATCAGATCTTTAAACCACATTAACCAGATCTGCTGTATGACCCTAGTGGGTTTAGCGCTTGCTTATAATTATAATAATGATAATAATGATAATAATAATAATAATAATAATAATAATAATTTAGCCAGATTTCTTGCGTCTTAAGTTTGTTATATTCCCACTGATTCCTAAATCATTTGATAACACTGCCAACGAAGTTCGTTTGTGCCAACCTGGCAGTGGCGTTGCTAGGGTACATGAGTTATACAAGTGCGTGACCTTCAGTATGGTGCGTGACCTTCAGTATGGTGCATGACCTTCAGTATGGTGCGTGACCTTCAGTATGGTGCATGACTTTCAGTATGGTGCGTGACCTTCAGTATGGTGCGTGACCTTCAGCATGGTGCAGGATTTTTCAAGATGCAGGTAGACAGGTTCTCCCATTTAACTTACCCGACGAAGATGAGTAGTGCTGTCGTCAGGAGCTGCGTCAGGTACCTCAGAGACAAACATCGACGGTAACAGTGTAGAAACATGTTCTACGACAGAGCTAGAAGAATTTCTTGCTTTATCCTCGTAGATTTTTTCACTCCCGAACTGTAAGAGAATACGGATTGTTATTTTATAAAGCACTAAATTCGCAGGGGTCATTCAGCGCCTGAGAAATGGGAGGCATTTAGTTTGCTCCAAGGGGAGGGGTAGCTTTAATTCCTTGGATCAAGAGCCCTTGGCCAGAAACAAGGCACCTTCCACTACCTCCTCTTTCCCCTCCCTCTCCCTGTAATGGCGAATAAATACTTTCCTTACTTCAAAAATTACGAGCCAAAATCTCTAAACTTTCCACTAATAGTAACATTCAGAAATGTGGACGATCATATTTGTATCACTTAGCAGAAATAAATTATGGAGAGGCGTCTTAAAGTAACCCAAGAGAGAAATATATATATATATATATATATATATATATTATATATATATATATATATATATATTATATATATTATATTATTTTAACACAATGACCGTCTCCCACCGAGGTAGGGTTACCCGAGAAAGAAGAACCTTTACATTTAGTACTTTATAAAAGAGATGGGGTTACTAGCCCCGGCATTTTAGTCTCCTCTTACGACACGCATGGCTTACGGAGGAAGGATTCTCCACATCTAGGTCTATTGTGCCTCCAGTTCTAGTGTTACTTCCTTACTGGTTGACTGCTACCTGCCTGCCTGGCCCAGGTCGGCAGCGGTCCTGACACCACCTGTCATGTCAGCTAATCACAGACACCCACCTCGGATTACTGGTGTTATGTGAATATGTTTGGATTGTGTTCTGGTACAAAGAGATATCTTGGGTTGTTAGTGAATCTCGGGAGTCAGGACAAACGCTGTGTACATGGCATCATATACAGTCTAATCTTATTCTGTCTCAGAATTAACATCAGCATAAACTCAACGGTCAAAGGACCTTCCTTCTTTGCAGGAAAGTAACAATTATTCTGCACTCTTAAAAACGTACACTAATTAATAACGGGTCATTTTAACAGGTCTTATTAACTGTATTGTTAATTAGCCTCCCATTACCATTGTTACAACTTGAGTAGCAGTTCCTCAAGTGATAGTCTAAGTAGCAGCTCCTCAAGTGACAACCTGAGTAACAATTCTTAAGAGTCACATATCATTTAAGTAATAAAAGTGTTGGGTGTCGAGTCCGGTGTTGATATTAAAATAGAGAAATATTGATATAAAGTATTGTGGTTTTTAAAGTGTATATGAATTGATATAAGTGTATATAAAATGCATAATTTTTATATTTTCTTTGATAAAGAACAAAAAGGCACAATACTGTGACTGGAACAGTACACAAATAACCCGCACATATGAGAGAGGAGCTTACGATGACGATTTGGTCTGACTCGGACCATTTACAAAGTCACACTAACACAAAAGAGTGAGGGAGCCAGTATATATAGCTGGGAGGAGAGGGACGGGACCAAGAGAGGAAGAAAATGAAGTAGTGGTAGTGATAAGGCTTGTTATAAATGGTTCAAAGCGGACCGAAACGTCGCCGTATGCTCCTCTATATGTAAGGGTTAGTTACGTACGTATTTGCTATGATGTAGAAGCCGCTTGTTGTGATCACACAAGCCAGTCTTGCAACCCCAGTGTGATAATCATGCAGATTCCAATATTTCCTGGTTAGTTTCGGCACTCTCGTCATTATTTTAAACTAATGTGGTTAAATATAGGCCCTATTGGATTTATGTAACACATTCACACGTAAACCACAAAACATCACTAGTTCCCAGGAAGCGTTAGGAAATCGACGTTGAGAAAAACGTGAGGAAATGAACGAAGGAAAATCAGACGAGTCACAGGGACGTTAGGAAGTATTTCTTCAGTCATAGAGTTGTCAGCAAGTGGAATAGCCTAGCAAGTGAAGTAGTGGAGGCAGGAACCATACATAGTTTTAAGAAGAGGTATGACAAAGCTCAGGAAGCAGAGAGAGAGGACGCAGTAGCGATCAGTGAAGAGGCGGGGCCAGGAGCTGAGTCTCGACCCTGCAACCACAATTAGGTGAGTACAATTAGGTGAGTACACACACACACACACACAGCAACTAATGAGACTATTACTGCTACGTTTCGCTCCCCTGATTATTTGGGTTATCCTTGGTTAATATTGGTTATCCTGAGTTATCCTGGATTATTCTTGGCTATCAGGCATTCGATGTTAATAATCTCTATGAAATACTATAAATTATCATATCGTACTTCATAGACTGCTAAATCCGCATGGGTCATTTAACACAAGAGTGGTAGAGGCTCAATATTTTTCGCCAGGTGATCCCGGACGGTGGATCGAGGCCTACAAGACTTCAGTAACATGCAGGGGAGATTCACCCATAAGTCAGGAGGAGACTTACCAAGCGCTACACTCACCTGTGCTGTCACTTGTACACTGAACTAAGAGGAAGTGTACCAGAGTGACTCTCCCAGCATCAGGGAAGAGGAAGGCCCCGTGGCCTGGTGGCTAAAGCTCCCGCTTCACACACAGAGGGCCCGGGTTCGATTCCCGGCGGGTGGAAACATTTCGACACGTTTCCTTACACCTGTTGTCCTGTTCACCTAGCAGCAAATAGGTACCTGGGTGTTAGTCGACTGGTGTGGGTCGCATCCTGGGGGACAAGATTAAGGACCCCAATGGAAATAAGTTAGACAGTCCTCGATGACGCACTGACTTTCTTGGGTTATCCTGGGTGGCTAACCCTCCGGGGTTAAAAATCCGAACGAAATCTTATCTTATCGTAACATTGTCTCTCACGGGGATACTTTAATTATCATCATTAAGAGGCGCCTGACTTTCCCCGTCTCCTAATATCACGTTTATTTTTCCCATATAATCTACCTTGTCCATAAATACTATTGCATTTGCTTTGCTTTCGTCAGGTGAAGTCTGGGATTTTTTCTAAATTCATGGTATAACTTAGCAAATCTTGGAGGACAATTGTGTTACAGAGGTCAGACTTCTCCAACGTAAATAGTGTAAATTAAACAGGATAACAAAAAAAAAATGTCTGACAAAGTAACTTATCTCTATTATGGGTTCTTTTAATATCTTATTTAAACCTTAAAAGTGGAAATAAATCTTCGACTTTGAACGCACTACTAAAATTTTTTAAGAGAAGTTTTAAACTTTCTCAGAATTAAAATGTAAATATCTCAATAGACAGAACATATGAGTTTATAAATAATTTTATTATTTTTTTCATGTGTGAGTGTTAATTAGGTATAAAAAAAATTCCTAAGTTTCACTGGAGTTATCTACGTGCACAAGACAACGTTGCAGCAGCTACTTCAGTTTTATAAAATAGGTTAGGTAAGGTTCGTCAGGAAACAGGACAAGTGTTTCCTGACGCGGGTCTTGGTCGGATGATGACCCGCCTTTGGAGGTTTTGGTCATCTGACCGAGGCCTTCCGCTGGCTTACCGGTTCACCCCTTTAAAAAATATGGTCATATTTATAACCATTTCTAGTTTTTATAAAATTCCCCTGGATGCGACCCACGACAGTCTGGTAACATACAGGTACCTTACACAAATAACCCGCACATAAAAGAGAGGAGCTTACGACGACGTTTCGGTCCGACTTGGACCATTTACAAAGTCACACTTGTTATTTGTGTATCGTTCCAGTCACGGTATTGTGCCTTTTTTTTTCATTTATACAGGTACCTATTTTCACTGCTAGATGGGTAGGAGCAGCAGGGGTTTAAGGAAACTGGCTCTTATGTTTCTCCGTGCCAGGGATGTGAGCCCAGGACCTTGCGATTGTGAGGCAAATGGTCTCACCAGCGAGCTACGCGGCACTCCATTGAAATACTCCTAATGGGAGGGAGGTACGTAGGGATGGAGAGACGGTGGGATGGTTAGAGGGAGGGAGGGAGGGAAGGGGAGGAAGAATGGCAGGAGAGATGGTGAGAAAGGAGGGAGAGAAGGTGGTGGGGAAGAGGGGGAACAAGAGATTTACAGAGAGAACACAAGTAATGAAAATAGTGATGTAGAGCACTGAGCTGCCTTATTGGGAAGCTGCTTCAGTCCTCGCTCTACAACCACTGGTCTGTGTGGTTACATTGATATATACTGTGTGTGTGTGTGTGTGTGTGTGTGTGTGTGTGTGTGTGTGTGTGTGTGTGTGTGTGTGTGTGTGTAATATATAAGTAAAGTCCTGCAATAATGAGGATATTGTCAACACTCAACTATCGCACACATGGGTCTCTCAAGACTGCAAATCTTCTGTCATGATATCGTTATATATCCTAAAAATAAAGGAGTTCCCCCACTACTGTGACGTATTATCCACAATTATATTTAATGACCTAAAAAGGGTCCAATAATGGCTTACGGGCAACAATGGCACAAGCTATCAGTTAAGAGAATTTACCCACTCCGTCACAAGGACCCAACACTTTATAATATATAATATATAAATATATGTATATATATATATAATCATTAAATTAATTTGCCCTTTTTCTTAGGTTTTATATGTTTATATCTTTTGTGCATATACATTATATAAAACTAATCCTATTATATGCCTTTTATCACGTAATTTGCCTACAGTTTTATTAAAAATTCTTTAAAAAGAAAATGACTATTGTAGCTTTGAATGTTAGTTGCAGACACTGAACCAAATGTTCGTAGTAAACATAGCGCAGACGTAGCCTTATAAAAAGGCTCTTAAACGGCCTTCAATAGGAGAGATATTTGCGTTGTTGGTACTCGTATATACTGCAAGTGGCTGTTACACGCAGAAAGCTTCGACACAATGGCCCTGCAACCCAAAGCAATCTTACGAGAACAAGTTACAATTTCTGGATACGAGGGGATGTTTGCTTATTTCTGGCTCTCTTGTTCCCTCCTTTCCTCTGTCCCTTCCTCGTTACTTCCATTTATTGCTCATTTTCCTGGAACTTAATTTAAAGTATTTTTATATTTACTAAAAAAAGGTAATTTTTTAGCCTTTTTATCATACGGATGCACTATTTTTTTTAGGATAAAAAGTTTAAACAATAGATGCGTCTGAATTCTAATTCCCT